CTTCCCAGGGGCATCCCAGCTCGGGTGAAAACCAGCCTGATTCAGCAGACAAGGTTTGGAGCTTTGCTGCACCTTTGTGCTGAGGGTGCAGCGTCTCGTTTAGAATAGTTAGTGGAAACATTTCCTCTCTTAGGCTGCTTTTGAAGTTGTGTCATTAGTTTTTCTTAATGAAACATGCAAATCCTGTAAATGCTGCGATTGCATTTCGGGGAATTCAGTCCTGACAGAGCTCCGGTTGTAAATATCTAACTGGCATGTAATTTAGGGCAGACCCACTCTCATTACCTTTTTCCTCCTGATTTCTTACTGCTCAGCATGTATTTTCCTAGTACTGGACTGCTGGGAAGCCCGCTCAGGCGCAGTTCTTTTTGGCATACCATGGCAAGAGGGGGAAAGAAAAGGCTGGGGTGTATTAAACTGAAGCTGAAGCTGATCGCAGCGGCATGGCATGACCTGCTGTGGGCAGATTGCCGTGGGAGGGCTTTGACAAGCCAAGAAGAAACCTCCCACCTCGGCCACTGATAGCTCAGGGTGCCATTCAATGATGCTGAATTGCATATGCTGAGCTCACTTTTCATGGCACTTCTGAAGGCTTCGCTTACATGGGATTTATACCTTCTGCCTCCAAAATAGTAGAAAACTATTCAGTATCAGCATTATACTCTTTCTAGAAAGCTCGTGATAGCGGTATTTCATGGTTTCAACTGCAGTGCTCACTGCTTCAGGGTTACATCCTGACAGCAAATTTCTTTTCCCTTTTTAACCTTCTCGGTGTGCACAAATGTCCCAAACCCCCCTAGTGAGGGGCACTGCACCCACGGACGGGCCGTCAGCCCTGCCGCACCCCCTGCATGCTGCTGCCGCCCGATTTCGCAGTGATTTGACAGACGACGTGGAAGGGAAGAACCTGCCCGAGTGGCTGGTGTAGGCAGATGGCTGAAGACACGTGTTGCAACTGCAGTCTGTGCAGAAGGTAAAATGAGCTGAAGGGTTGGTTTTGGGTTTTTTTTCAGCCTGCGTAGAGATGGGGCGAGCACAGCCCGGCCATCAGCGTCACCTCCTGGGCAGCCAGCAGGCAAGTGCCAGCATCGCTCTTCCCCAGCCACCCAAAAATTCAAGGTGGAAGAGGTAAAAATCCGAACATTTGCAGGTGAACGTTGAGGGGGGATGGGTTTTAAGAATGTTTTAAGAACGACTTGTGCAAGTAACAGCCATCGACATTTCGCTCCTCTGGCACTGGCAATGCAGAAGAAGTCCAGCCTAACGCTTCAATTGCGCCAGTGCTACCAAATGGCATCTCCAGCCAGCACTGCAGGTGGGGAAAAGCAAGTTTCTCAGTAAAATAAGCAGACCCCATGCTGCAAGCAGGAGGGATAAATACCCTTTATTCCACAGCCTTTACTGCACCCTAAGCTGCCCAGGAACCATGGCCTCAATTGGCCCCAGCCTGTTCAGCATCAGAGCACTAAAAATATTTCAAAATCCCTCTCTTGAAATCGCTTAGCGTGCTTTGGTCATCGAGCCAGCTAACCTAGAGGTGGCATGTTCAGGCCACCACCCAGCTACATGTGACAGTGATAGCAGCCACTGCAGCACTTCCCGGCATTTCAGAGGTTAACGTGAGCCGGCCGAGGAGTCTGCTCACACTACAGGGCCTTTGGCAGGGATCTGAGCCCCAATCTTCCCGTGTTTTCATAAAACGTGAGCTGCAGAGCCCACAGACCAGGCACTGTGGGGCCTGTGGTTGGCAGCTCCGCGCCCTTGGCCCTGGGACCCCGTCGCAGCACAGGGCCAAGCTCCGGGGGAGCCCCTGGAGCTTTTGGACTTCCAGCCTTCAAGTATCATCACCCCGGGGCATTCTCTGCCTAAGCCCACGTGCATCTCTCAACCAGTCGCAGGTATCTGGAGGGAATCACCGGTATCATGCTGCACACTGTGACAAAGTCTCTTATGTTTTCATGAAAAAAAACCCAGAAGAAAGGAATATTTGCCAAGCACAGCTGTGCAAGTCAGGCAGATTTTCCAGCATGCACCGGCATAAAGGTTAAGCACTCAGTAATTCAAGTGTCTTCTACATACAGTAATAAAACTTCTTATGATGTATCCAGGAGCAGCTGCTGCCCTTGCTTAGCAAATGTAACTGTCTTCTAAAATTATTTTCTCTTCATAAGACAGAGAGAATGATGTTTTCAAGTTAACGTAACTCGGAGCTGATGACTTCTGTCTCTCAAGCTTTTTCTACTGCTTTAATTACAACAGCACTTTAATGCTTGCAGTAGAAAACTGCTGAAAATGCATTTCTGGTATTGCAAATGATGCAAAAAAATGCCTTTTGCAGATGTTTGATGTCACAGATGTTCAGTACCACAAAGCTTAACCAAAGTACACCCTAAAAAGGGGTGTGACGATAAAAAAAAAAATCGCTTACAGTTGTAACTTTCCAAAGACATACTGAACACGGTGCTGATTTCAGTAGGATTGCAGCTCTGCTGCTGGATTTGCAGTCGGTATGATGGAGTCACTCCTACAGCACATATAGCCCATGGACATTTGGATCTTCTACCCGTGTTCATAGCTTCTATTGAACGCCCTTTTGCTGGCCAAGAAGCGAACAAAACAATCCTGCCCACAAACCTGAAGATGAGCAGCATGTCCCAGAGACACCTTTGGGCGGTGGTGCTTGGTGTCGTGTCCCCCGCCCCGCTGTCCCCAATACCGAGCGCCATTACCACTGCCCGGTTATCTTTGCAGAGACATCGAGGGCCGTTTGACTTCCAAAATCAATGAGTTCAGGCAAGTTAGGCACCTCGTCCAAGTTCCAAGGTGCTCATGTACTGACTGAATAGTCTGAAAAGTCACTGTTAGCTCTTCTCTACAACTATACCCAACCCAGCAGACACTCCTCTCTCTTCTTAAATTAAATGTAGGAACCCGAGTGAAGCAAGCAGCACCCGGAGAAGCCAGCCCACTCGGTAAAGTGTCACACACAAATAGGGAATGACTGTCAAATACCATTTTTTTATTCCTTTTTTTTTAACCATCATGTAGAAATAGAGGTCAGTGGAAGCTGGAGGGCATTTGCCCCAGTTATAAGCAGTCTGTGCTGGATGTGATTTAGCTGATGCCATTAGCCCAGGAGAGACCCAGAAGTCCATCTTCTAGGAAATGCTCCATGTGAATCGCTCCGTGCGCAGATGCAGCACTTGCAGGCCTGGGTGTCGGCAGGGCTTTGTTTGTTTGTTTGTTTTACAGAAAGGCTTTTTAAGCAGAGCTAAAATGCATTCACACCAGAGCAGCTTTAATGGGGACACGCAGCGAGAGGAGCACTCAGTCTCGCGGGCGAGCACGCACCAAACCGCAGCGTGCATTTTGTAACATCATCCGGGCAGGCTCAGAGGCTGTTTGTTTTTCCCCTTTGTCTTAAAACACAATTTGGCAGCCCTCAGTGGCCAAGCCATCCCCTGGAGTGTGCAGCTCCCTGCCCAGGAGAAGCAGCAGCCACCCTTACAAAGACCTCAGATGGTCTTTTAATTCGGCAGCAATTTAATTGCAGCTCTTGCTCCAGGACAGTTTCAAAGGAGACAGCTCAAGGGTCTTGACTACAAAGAGCTTTGGAGCGGGCGTTTTGACAGTAAACTGTTCTCACCATTGTTCAGGCTCCCCCTTTCCGAAGGCAATGACTCAACTCCACCAGGACTGGCAGGGAGCCTCCGGCTTCTCAAAAACTGGGTAATGAGATTATGGGAGCAGCTCACACGCTTTTGCTCTTCACGGCAAAAGAAACCTCTGTGCTGTGAGAACTTTGTGTGCCGCTTTGGGGCCTTCTGATTAAGAGCATCCCTTGAGGGATGGGTTGGAGACCATCAGGTAGGAAGCCCTGAGTATCTCAGGTGAAAAACTACTGAGGGACAAAACACAAATCCAAGAGGTGCATACACAATTTTAAACCCTTCTTGGCTAAGTTATTATTCTTCAGATACAATGATAAATGAAAGGCAAAAAGCTTATGTTTGACCATTTTATGGTAACTCCATAAGCAGAAGTAACACATTATATATTTGCTCTTAGCAAATATATAGACTGTAATATTTAAGAATGTGTTTGCTCCAAGCTGTTTATAGAGTCAGAAATTCTTTTCACTGGGAAAAACCTGTGTGTGCTATTTAATCCTGTAAAGACTTAGGTTAGGATGTGCCTCCTCTCTGAGAGGAGAGGACACTTCTTTGCAGCTTTCATTCCTCCTTGCAGAGAAGATGGTCCAATAATGGCATGTGGTCCTAGAGGGGCATCAAAATTTGTCTCTGCTCATGGAGCAACAGTTGATGAGGGAGGAGTAGGAATGAGAAAAAATGCATGCAAACCCCTTCAGTCTAAAAGTAAACTTAAAAGACTCTACTGATGAGGACTCCAGGGCTTGTCAAAGCGAAGGTTGCCACCCCTACATCAACTCCGCCAGTCCCCTCGAGAAGATCAGCCTTATGGCTCCCGCGTGTAGTTATGCAGAGATTTATTAACTGCAGTTATACAACACGAACTTCAGGATTCATCTCCTTGAGATATTTAATTAAAAACAAACTGCTTGGGAAACACAATACGTATTCCTTCTACATTTCTCTCCATCTAGTTTCAGAAGAGCAATTCTACAGGATACGAACAGTCCTAGGCACCGCGCAGTGCATCAGACGATGTTTAAACCTCACACCCAGCAATACAATCTTAACTCTAGTAAAGCCGAGCAGGAGTAAGTTTACATTTACGAAAAATGTAACTGAGTTACACGGAGGCTTCCAAGAAGGACTTAGATGGGAATTAGCTAGAGTTTAAAAGTTAGAGAAGTAAAAAAGCAAGTACACAAATCAAAGTACGCAGTTTTTCACAATTATCTCAGAGGCAATGGGAATGGTGTTTGAAGAAAATCAGCTCCAGAGAGCAGCTGCTCACTAGGTGGGAAATGCCAAAATATCCAGTTTCAGCACCTAAAGGCTACATGGGGGGGAGAACTACTCTACCAGGATCGTATCAATGCTTTCTTGGATGAGATCCGACTCCAGTATACATTCATCTAAGTGGTCTTGGGACATACTGGAGCTTTTCCCCATGCTCTCACTGTCACAGTAGGGACGAAACCTGGGGGTCGCGGGGCTCTCCAGCCGCTGGCAGCGGCTGTATTTGTGCTGCTTCCCTCTGTGCGTGTACATGTGTTCGAGCAACTGGCTCTTCCGGAAAAAGGTGCGGCCACAGATGGTGCAACTGATTTTTCTCTTTCTTGAGAAAGAAAAGTTACAGTTCAACTCCACTGGTTCGTGGTCCTTGGAGATGAGGGAGAGCTGGCTGATCTGCAGAGGCTCCAGGTCGCTGCAGCTCGGACGCTCCAGCTGATGCTCATCCTCCTTGAGGAGGAAGGCCCTGAGCCGATGGTCATCCCCAGCCTCTCTGTCCTCAGCCAGAGGCTGTACCTCCCCCAGGTCGCTGCTCTCCAGGATGGAGGCCGGCACGCCGAACGGCAGCGAGCCCGAGACGTGGGTGTGCAAGTGCTGCCGTAGCCCCCCCCGGGAGTCGAAACGCTCCCCACAGTAGTGACACAAGTGCACTTTGAGGCTGGCCTTAGCAAAGATGGGGCTAGCTACCTCCGGAGATGGAGGGGTGCAGGTCCGGGACACCACGGGCTCCGAGTCGCACTTCTCTTGCTTTATGGAGACTGAGCGCTTCGTACGCTCTTCTGCTGGCTTGGTGAGAGCAGCAGGCTGAGCGGAGGGGCGAGCGACCTGCTGGTCCGGGGAACTGTCGTCCAGGCCAATGGCCAGAGAGAGCTGCAGCTGCGGGTGATCGCCCTGGGCAGCAGACCTGCTGCCCGCCCTGGGCACACTCTCCTTCGCTCCCAGGCGTTCCTTCGCTGGTTTGTGTGCGGTGGAGATCTGGATGCCGTACAAGTTTGAAGACTGGACCGGCTCTGGGGAGAACACTTGGTTCATCTCGATGGCGATATGGGAGAGGTGGTCTGCGTGGAGAAAGCGGATGCCCTCCTCCAGTCGGCTCTGGCTGACGGTCTGCTTTGGCCCTTTCCCAGTGTACATGATATGCAACAAGTAACTAAATATGTCAGGCTGGATGTCTGCAGGCTGAATCTTTATGCATTCGCTGAAACAAGACAGATTACTAAATGCATACAGGGCTCCAAATTACAGTCCTGATCCGTTACCCGCCCGTTCATTTGCTCTGCCGTTCACTGTTAGAGCGTGTGCGCTGCTGCCTGCCTCCCGATTCACAACGAGCAGCGCTCCCCACCACGACCTGCAGAAGCACGTGCCCTGTTCGCACGGCAAAGTGCCTCAGCGCGTATTTATCCCTGTGATTATAAAGACAACTGCAGCCAGGGATGGTGAGAGTCCCTGGTCACCCTGCCCCTGGTCACCCCATCACTCCTACGTACAGCCAATTGCCGCCGCACAGCACCACGGCGATGCCAGGCAAGCTACACGGCGCCGGTGTCTGCCACTCTAGTAGTACGAGGCAAAGAATATTTGTGTGTTTAAGTAATAAATTCAGCTGCCACTACTGCGTAATCTTTATGAGCTTTGCACTTAAGTGTCATTAAACAACGTCTGTCGGAAAGGAAGCTAACTGATCTTTTCATTCCAGCCGAAAGGCTCCGCGGCTCATGGCTAACGATTATCCTGCAAAGGTGCTGGGGGCCATGACACTCAAAAAGGAAGGAGAATGGAGAAGGGTTTAATCGATTGCAAGCAGCAAGCTCCATCTCAGAGGCGAGATTAGACCTTGGCGCCGCCGTCGTTAACACCTGCAGAACCACTCCTGACCTGGCCGGGTGAAGCATCTGAACAGCAGCTTGAAATAAATTGATGATCTCAGTCTCGGCCCTTATCTGCAAGAGTCTGAAGCGCAGAACTGCGATAAAGCTATGGCTACTTGATTGCTTCAAGCCCGTGGGTCCTGCCAGAAGGGACAGTCCCACCCAGCAAGCTTGCCTACAAGCTAATGCAAAGTAATGGACACGCTGCGTACGAGCAGGAGGTACCTGGAAATCCCTAGATTGCAAATCTGTGAGGTTCTCACTGCTGGAGGACTGGGGATGTTTATTTTTCTCTGGTCACGCAAATGTCTCATCTTCAAAATGTGGGGCCTGATGTTGGTGTATGCTGACTAAGAGGGTGGTTTTAAAGGACAGCCCATTCTGGACTGGGAATGTTTAGAGAGCCAAGGCGTGTGCTGGGTTAGGAAAATAATCTCAGGCCATCTAATATCTCCACTTGTGCTCTTTTAGACTATAATACCTTTAGAAAGGGGAAAAAAGCAGAAAGTTGAACAGAGCGGTTAAAAGGCAGGAGAAGAGCTGTGTGTCCTTACCTCGTCTGATGAATAAATATCATCTTAAAATAGTTTGAAAAAGCAGCGAGCACCGCTCTGTGGGCTTTGAAGTAAACATCTCCAATGGCAACTGTGCAGTCACACAGAAAGCCAAACTCCCGCTGCATGTTCAGCTGCTGGAGGAGGAGGACGCTGTGGCCGGTCGTATCCATGGCGTGCCTGAGAGCAAGAGAACAAGATGTTCATCTCACGAAGAAATCACAGACCTCCCAAAGGCTTAAATGTGGGTTTCTCACCACTGAAACGAGACGGGTGCCTGGCAGGGAGCATGGCCTCGCCGAGCCTCTTCCCTCCTCCAGACGGTCCCTGCCCCCAGATTTAATAATTTCTGCTACTGAAACCACCGCCGGTGCCCAAACCCATGTTCAACGAGCTTAAAACCTATCCGGGACATTTCCACGTGCCAGCTACAAGCAGAGCTGTTTCTCCTACAAATTAACTACTCTCCGTGCTGTTACCGGTACTAACTTTAAACCTCGCTCGCCTTTTTGCTCTGACCTCGGATCGTGCTTTCTACCGCATCACTGCCTGCGCTGGCC